TCTGTATGAATAAGTTGCAACATATCGGTGGATGATTTTTCATTCTTTCGGGGAAAAGATTTTCTTGTTTGTTTTCCACGAATGCACGCTTCACAATCAATTTTTATTGTCTTCAAGCTAGGTAATCCTTTCACCATTTGAAAAGATGATAGCTTACTCAGATCTTTGCAGTTTAAATGACCATAACGCCCATGCCATAATTTAAACTCATTTTCAGCACTTTTACTCACAGAATTTGCGGCTATCTCCTTTTCAAATATGTTGACAGTATATATGCTATTTTTCTTACAGCCTTCTATCAGGATATTGCCCTTTCGCATAATAAATGCCTTATTTTCTTCCATTACTACTTTGCAACCTGAATCAGTGGCCTTACTGGTAGACAAGAGATTGTGCTTTAAATCTGGTACATATAAGACGTTATTTAAGTAAATGGCCTTTTCTCCGCTAACATTTACACAAATCGCCACTTTCCCTATGCCTTTGATATCTATTCCTTTATCATCCGCTAACTTGACGTTTCCAGTATAGCTCGTGTCAAGATTAAGAAAAAGAGATTTATCATTGCACATGTGTGATGATGCGCCACTATCTATTACCCATTCCTGTTTAGATCTGACAAAATATGCATTTTCTGTAGCGCCCAAAGAATTTTCCTTGTCTTCACTGGATCTTGAGTTCCATTCAATAGATATTTTCGCTCTGCAGTCTTTAGCCTTGTGTCCTTTTTTCTTACACCGAAAACATGTTATTGTCTTTTTGTACCTACCTTCCATTAGATTTGGGTTGTAATTCGGATACGTTTCTGCCTTCTTCTTGAAATGCTTTGCTTTCATTGCAGCATCTTGGCTTACTTCAACTTTTTCGCCAATTTCAAGCAACCTTGCCTTCAAGACATCAAGTTTTGGAAATTCGTTAGCAGTATCAACAGCCGCCTTAACGGCTGAAAATTTATCTGGTAACGCATCGACAATTACAACAGCTTGCAGATCTTCATCGAGTTCAACCCCCATTTCCGATATTGATAATGAACACGTTTCAAACTCGATAAAAAACTCAGAAATAGTTTGATTATCCCACATTTTCAAGTTCAGCAGTTTCCTATAACACTCAATTTTTTTTCTTGTTGTTTTAGGTCGTATGTATCTTGAAGATGCTTCCACATTTCGCTTGACGTTTTTATATTCCTTACCGTGTTCACTATATTCGGTTCCAATGCTATCAAAATCTCGGCTCTTGCATCCATATCCTTTTCGATAAACCTTTGTAAAACTTCCATTTTTTCTTCAAATTCAGCTCGTTGTTCGTTTGTAGGATTTCTGGGGAGACTGCCTATATTTGGTGCTTTATCCACTCCCAACACAATGTTAAGCAGTCTGTTTTTGTGCAAAACAGCTTCCATCTGTGTCTTCCAGGTCAAATAATTATTTCCGTTGAATAACGGAATACGGCCATTATACGATGTCATTATTTGTTCTTCAGCACGAGATCTTAACTCACACAACCCAAAAATTGAATATATTTGTTCTCACCAAATTATTGTTTAAATTAATCCTTCAGATTTTTCCTTATATCCCCGTTATGGCGCTGGGCCCATAACCTATTGAATCAGAATAAATGCGCAATGGAATATTGAAAAGTATTGCTTTTATTGAGACAATAAGATGAAATTTCCCAAACAACATTTGTTTGGCCCAAGGACGAACTCTATTGAAATTGGAGATAATCGGTGAAAATTTAGATATAGCTCCCATATATATCTTTGTCCGATTTGCCTTTTATTGTGCACCAAACGTGTAATATCAGCCCAAATTGTATGGAATTTCGCACATACAACCAAATTAGGTCTGAAAATAAGTATGCCAAATTTGATCGAAATTGATTTAGATATAGCTATAGCTCCCATATATATTGTTCATCCGATTTGTTATTTTAGTCCTCCGCAGCCGTAATATGCACTCTGTAACAACAATATTTGGGGAAATATATCAAATGCAGCTCAGAAATACCTTACCAAAATTTTATCGAGATCGGTTCAGATTTGGATATAGCTCCCATATATAACTTCGTCCGATTTACCTTTTATTGTTCACCAAACGTCTAATATTTATTCAAATTGGATGGAATTTGGCACATACGACCCGATGATCGATGAAGATCGGATCAGATATAGCTATAGCTCCCATATATATTGTTCATCCGATTTGTTGTATTTGTTACTCACAGCCGTAATATGCACTCCGTAACAACGATATTTGGGAAATATATCAAGTACAGCTCAGAAATATCTTTGCCAAATTTTATCAAGATCGGTTCAGATATGGATATAGCTCCCATATATATCTTTATCTGATTTCAAATGAAAAGTCCGGCATATTTAGTCCTTTGAATTTTAAATTATAGTGGGTATGATTGAATTCTCCCATAAATACTTTTAATGTGGAGCTCCATTAAATTAGCAAAGTGGTGTAAGGTTTTTTTTTTGAAAACATTATCACTTTCTGAGTCCAGTTATGATGTCAATCCGTCCGTCTGTCCATGTATTCATCAGGTACTGCTCGAAAATACCTCTGCCCCATTTTACCGAGATCGGTTCAGATTAGTATATAGCTCCCATATATCTTTATCCGATATCAAGTTCATTTTACACCAAATGGCCCATATCACATATTTGGGGTTTAAGGTCCCTCAAACGGGTAATATGCATTCCACAACAATGATCTTTGGTATCAGATATCAAATACAGCTCTTAAATAAGTGTATACATTTTGTCAAGATCGGTTCAGATTTTGATATCGCTTCCATATACACTGGTGGCCGAAACTAAAGCAACTTAAATCGCAAAGACAATAAATGTCCTGTAACTTTTACAAAAATTAATTTTTGTAAATTATTAATTATTATTATTTTTCCAGTTTTAAATGAGGGGTTTAATTCACTTTTAAGAAACTCAAAATAAAAATACAAAAATAATTTTGAACGAAAAATAATATGTGGAAAACTAAAATGACCCAATTTTTACTTGGTCAAAACTAAAGCAACTTTTGATTTTTTATTTTAAAATAATTAAATTTTGGCTAGTAGTCGATAGCATAAACATTATTACGAGGCCTACGAGGCATTGAATCTATAACACGCTCAATTTGATCCTTGGTTGTGCTTTCCCAGGCACCCCGAATTCTTTAGAAAATGTTGTGCTTATTTATTTCCGAATCTCGCTTGATCTTCCTATCTATGATACTCCAAAGATTTTCTATGGAGTTTAGGTCAGGTGATTGTGCCGGCCATAACAAAACATCAATTTTTGACTTCCGCAACCAATATTTGACAAGTTTTGATACAAGTTTGGGATCATTGTCACGCTGAAACACACAAATCAGCCGAATATTTTACTCAGCGTAAGGGAACAACGTGATGTCCAACACATCTTTGAAAACAAACCGATCCACAACTTCCTTTATTTTATGGATAGGCCCAAGTCCATAGAAAGAAAAACAGCGCCACGCCATTTTTGATCCTACACCAATCCAGTTGAACACTTAAATAGTTGTTTTTTTATTTCTCTCACGATTTGTGGATCAGTACGGGCTGAAGTTTTTCACGGCCTTCATCCGTTATAGACTTTTACTACTGATCTAGTTTCAAAAAAACCGACTTAGTATACAAAAATAATTATGAAATCACATAAATATTTATGAAATATTTCTCGGAAATAATTTTCTGTGATATGTTGTTTTGATAGTCACTAATAATTTGCTGTTTTATTCAGGTGCTGTATTTGTTTCTAGGCATTTTTAAAATTTTTTTGGGCAGTACTTAAAAAACGAAAAGAAAAACACATACTGTTGTAAAAAACTTCTCAAAAAGGATTTATGACAAGCGAAATTATCGAAGGAAGCAAAAAGCGATAAATATCACAGTAAAAACAACTGGAATTGCAGCGGTTATATGAATGTACAACATATTTGCTTTTGTTTTGCCCAAGCCAAAATCGGGTTAATTGACTTTACCAAACATTATTTTTTATATAAAAATGAATTTTGGTTTTATATTTTAGGTTTTTAAAAAGTGAGTAAAGTACCTAATTTAAAAGAAGAAAAACTTTTTAATTTTCTTAATTTTTGAAAAAGTTACAGGTTAAAGTTACTTTTGACTTTTCCTTATAATATAAAAGTTCCTTCTGCCCAATATTTGACCTTTCCTTGCAGGTTTTAAAATAGATTTTCGCCAAACGAATAAACCTCTTCAAAACCTTGCCTATTTCAACTTATATTATTACAATTTGGTACTAAACACCAAAATCTCCACTTCATCTGCTGTTGCTTAAGGTGTAGAGTTTTGGCTCCAGAACTACATATTTAGTAAATTGTTGTGTTTATCTTGTAATTAATTATATTCCATTTAGTACAAATTTCCACAAATAATCTACTTTATCAACCCTTCAAACTAGGCCCTTCTCTTTCATAACGATTGTCTTTTCGTACTTTACCTACAAGAATAATTTCAGGATTCAGACTCTAATTATTAGTACGTTTTAGCATCTATTTTAGTATGACTTCCCAAAAACACACCCTTATCTTAACACATGCATAAGGAGTGACCAATTATGAGATTCCAAATTTCAAAACCATCAACTTATTTGATGTCTCTTATCAAATTTCATAATTTAATAATGTATTTGGTGATGATTTTCTCTGCTTCTGAAAAAAATAATGATACGAAAATTTAGAAAATATTTATTTACTTATTTTTTTTTTTCGCAAAAATTCCTCCGCCATTTTTTTAACCCTTCTCTTTAATTCAACGCCATTCATATTGTAGTTGTTACTTCCTATTTTTACACAAACCGAACCAAATGACCTGAATATAATTAGCAAAGCTTACATTTGTATTTTCTTATGAATATCTTATAAAGTCTCTGTTGAGAGAATTTATTTTGCGTGACTGCATTTTGGCCATTTGTTATTAAATTTATTCCCCTCTCTTGTGACCACTTTTAGGCTGGTACGAGGACAATTGGTACGAAGTCAATTTAGAAAATGAAGATATTTCATGTACCGTCGAACAGATGCGTATGGCTGCCGAAGGCCATCTAACCACAGAGGCTCTGATGTGGAATCAGAATAATCAAACAACCATATCGGGCATGACAGCCGATGGATTTCGGTGAGTAATTTAAGTTAATATTTAATATTAAATGATTTTTGTGATTGTAATTTATTAACCACTCCCACCCTCCCTTGCACAGCTTGCGTCTGAATCAAGCCTTAAAAGAAGAAGGTTTCGATATTAGCAACGACCGCTATCCAGAAGGCTATCAGGAAGCCCCACTGGCCTATGATGCCGTTTGGAGTGTGGCCTTGGCCTTTAATCGCAGCATGGAAAGACTGAGGCATCGCAATAAAACCTTAAAGGAATTCACATACAACGACAAAGACATAGCTGATGAAATTTATGCAGCGATGAATTCAACGCAATTTTTAGGAGTATCGGTGAGTATTTGGTTGGGGGAAAAGGAGTTGTGGTTATGAATGTGTGTTTGTGTGTGGATAGATGAGTGAGCAGATGAATGGTTGAATGTGAATATATTTTGGTATGCTGATGACAATGTGACTCAAATTGGAACATAAAGTTGTTGTTGGATGAAAACTTTTATTCGATTGTCCTTAATGTGTTTTAAATAGCTACCCAAAAAATCGGATAGCCGGACCTGTCCGCTAAAAAGTAAAGTGATTTATTCAACATATGTATAGACATCGATTTATGATATATAGTTAATAAGTACCTGTGCTTTTAACGTGGTAAATAGCTTGTATGAATTGTAATAAGGTCAGTTTTTTCCATCAATCAGGTAAGGGTTAAGAGACCATAAAATAATAGACAATACATAAAATATGCAGCCTGTTATTAGACTTATCTGTCTGACTGACGGATGAGAAACAACGTCCAGACGAAACGGCTGAAGCTAGAATCTTGAAATTTTCCGCGCCGGGCAGTCTTGGTGCGTAGATGTGTGATAAAGCTTTTTTGAGAACATGTATTAGAAGGTTACGAATTTTTTAAATTTTGTACTGGACAAACGGAATAATCTAAAATTCTGAAATTTGGAATGAGAGTCATTGATGTAATACAGAATAAATGTAACAAAGGTACTATTTAGTATTACTTAAACAGATAGAGGTATACATTTAATATTTGGTACGAAAATCATGGTTTTTGTTCGAAGTGTACTAAATGGTACTAAATTTAAAACAGTTTGGTTTATGCTGGGCGGATGAAATAGGAATTTTGATATTTTGTACAGGGTTTCCCATATTCGACGGACCTTTGGGCCCAATCCAATCGAAGGCTTCTCCGCGGGCATCATTCTTTGAGTCAATTGAATTTTGTACGGGAACAAATGCAAATCAATGCGAATAATCCGTTGTAAAGTGGACCGAGCCATGCCCAACTGCTGAGAACGGCGTTTTTGGGATGTTCTTGGGGACCTCTCAACACTGGCTCGCACGGCAGCGATATTCTCGGCCGATCGCCTTGGTCGACTTTTATATGGCCTCTTCGGATTAGAAAGAGCCTTACCAGTTGAAAATTTTTCGTATAAACGCTTAATGGTGTTCTTAGAAGGCGCACTTCTCACATATTTTTTTTTTCACAATTGACTTCTTCTGTTGAATGTAAATGTCAACTATAGAGCGCTCGCGTGGCGTGTATTGGTTCATGGTAAAAATCTGCTTAGACTGACGCTTCAAACGCGGTATGTCATTAAGCGATGTGACATCTCTGTCAAAAGTTATGGCGTTGCCAGATGGGTCCGTCGAATATGGGCAACCCTGTATTATGGTCCCTTTTGGTGGCACGCTACTGATATAGAGGTTAATTTGGAAATGTGTACTGGAAGTGCACGGAGAGTACTAAATAGTACTATACAGGGTGAGATAAAAAAACGCAACAAAGTCAAACGACATCATTTTTACATTTTTATACCCACCTCCATAGTATGGAGGGTATATTAAGATTGTCATTCGGTTTATAACACTGGAAATATACACTTTAGACGCCACAAAGTATATATATTCTTGATCAGCATAAAATTCTATGTCGATTTAACAATGTTTGTCCGACTGTCCGTCTGTGGAAACCACTCTAGCTTCCGAACGAAATGAAGTATAAAATTTTACAACTTTTAAAAATTTACTCAAATGTGTATTATGTCTGCAGGATTTTTGGTACTGAAAATGGGCCACATCTTTGTATAGCCCCCATATAATGGTACCTCCCGCTATTCGGTATTTTGTTGACTTTAGCGAAACTATTTCAAATTTAGTATTTGAAGTTCGTAATGAATACTACAGCCTATGACAGAAAATTGTCTGTGCAGGTCCACTTCTTCGTATAGCGGTACTTCCCATTTTTCGGTATTTTGATGATTTTAGCGACATTATTTATCGGAACTATTTCAAATTTAGTGTTTGAAGTTCGTAATGAATACTATAGCCTATGGCAGAAAATTGTCTGTGCAGGCTTATGACAAAAGTTGCGTATGCAGGTCCACGTCCTCACATAGACCCTAATATATGGCCACATTCGGTTTTTTTAAGATTTAAACAGAATTTTTAATGGATTTTATTTTTTTGAAAATTGCCAAATTTGCACCAAATGGTGGAGGGTAGTCAAAGTTAGAAACTACAGTTTATGGCCTTCAAACGGCCAATGAAACCGTCACACGCTGCCCGAATGTTGCTCTGCGGTATTTTGGCCCATTCCTTCGATGTGTTTGTTTTAGGTAATCGACACTGTGGTATTTTTTAGTGCCAACTTTGCTTTCCAAAATACTCCAGACACAATAGTCCAACGGATTGGTATCCCGAGACATTGGTGGCCATTGTGCTCTGGAAATGAAGCGAGGAACCTCATTTTGTAATCATTCTTGGATGGCGCGTACTGAGTGCGATGGTGCTGAGTCCTGTTGGAATGTCCAAGGTCGGCGGCCAAAATGTTTGCGTGCTCAAGGCTTTAGTACACCCTCCAGAATGTTTTAGCAATCATATTCGGAATTTTTTTCTGAGAACGACCATCGGCTGTTATGGCGGCCCACACCATCACCATGGCCGGCACTTGAGTTCTGGTGGCCAACCGAAGATGCACATTTTCAGCTGACCTCTTTGCCAAATAAACACGATAATTTTCACCACTTTCAGCCAAGCGAAGCAACTCTTCAGCACTTTTGAGTCTATTTTTTTCGGTTGGGGTGTAAGTTCTTGCACTTTTTGGAATTTCAATGGCTTACCACGAGATAATTTTTCAATATATGCTGAATGGAATATTGCGATATGTTCATCTCACGAGCCATTTTACAGCTACTGCGACGCTGCTTTCGATCAAGTCGCATCTTTACTTTTCAAACCATTTGTTCAAACCATAAAGAAATCACACTACCACGCTTGAGTTCCATCACGAATAACAGTTTTTCTGGAAAATCCTCACCAAAATGCTTTTGTACGCTTGCAAAAAATATAATGAGCTGTCACTGGAATAATTTTAACAGCTGTCGGACGAGTGGCTTAAAAATGAAAGCAGTCTGAAGTTGGTTGCAGTTTTTTCATCTCACCCTGTATGTGTATAGGATCGCGATATGGAATGGCTTTGCAAATGAGTACTACAATGTTATGAAAAGTACTTAATGTTACTAAATTTGGTATTGAGTGAATGAATAACGTTAAAATCCCAAAATTTGATATTGAGGACTCTGTTGTTATCTGGTAGTGGTTTCGCGATTGCAGTCTATAATTGTTCGAAAAGTATAAAATGGTATTCCTATTGGATCACTGTTATTGTCTAGGATGGATGGATGTGAATTGTTTCTTATTTGCGTACTAAATTTGATATTGGGTGATGGTATAGATCTCAAATTTGATGTGGATGTCACTGTTGGTTACATATAGAGAAGTTGTAATTGTTTTGGACAAAAAAAAAAAAAATGAATGTGGGTCCATTGGGGTCTAAAACATAGGTTCGACATATATGGACCGGCTCGACATATTCAAGACCATGTAGTTGGTACGATGATAATCGTCTTAATTGTATTCTGATGTGGTCTGTAGTTGACTTTATGAAAATCGGTTCAATCGCGTGTATTCAGACTGGTTTTTTAAAACGTAATGTCGGAGGTCATTTTTATTTGGCCGCTCACCGAAGCTGATGTTATCATCAGGTATTGCATTGACTGTTACAATTCTGCAATTGCTCACACTTTATGGTTGTCTCCGCTACATGCTTCGCTGGGGAGTAACGAAATTGCCTACGAAAATATCAGCCAATGGTAGAAATGCGTTGAGGATGTTTTATTGTTATGTGCAATGATATTGGATTTTTTTTTGTGTCATAGAAATGTATGCACATCCACGCAAGCTGTCCTCTATTTCCAATGAAATGCATTACCACTTTCTCATACATACATTGCATTTTGGCATCCAACCCACTTTGTATACTATTACAATCTTTCCGCCCAAAACTCTTTCAGACATCTACTCCTGAAGCATAAAATGCCTGTTTTGTGACCAATTCATAACACTCCTTTGATATAATCAGTACACAGATACACATAGTGTTTTCACATCTACCATAAAAACAAGTCATCATAAATATCGCGTTCTACATGACTCACGGCAAGTGTAAAAGATGTGCAACATAACGCAATGCTACTACACAGGTCAAATGTGTTTTCTAAAAACTGAAAAACGCCCCATTTATGTCCACACCAGTGGTAAGCGATGCCAGCCAAACATTCAGCTCAGTAACCAACCACATACTTTATGACCGCAAACCCGAAGTGTAAAAGATGCTGGTTAGTAAAAACGAAAAATATGAACAACATAAAATGTTGACATTTTGCCAAAAAAAGAAATTGAAAAAGACCAAAGAGCATAAACTTGTACATATATCATCGCCATGGATTCGAAAAACAACAGTGTAAATTCAGGGTGAAAAAATCAACGGCTAGTGTCATAGATTTCAAAGTAAAAGTTTAAATCTCCTGGGTCTCAAGTTAACGGGTATGAGGGTGAGAAGGAATGCGATACTAGAAACAAGCCAAAATGTTTTTTAGAAAAGAATCTTTTCTACGCTCTGCCACAACTTAGAGAATCTTAAAATATCATGGCATTGTGAGACGAAACATCGTAGAATTAAGCTCGATGTTATCAAGCTAAAAAGTATCTGCCTCAGCCAACGTACGATTATTTAAAAATATGTTGACTTCTGTTATGTTTATTCAAATGTTTATGTTTGAGTGAGGAATGCGCCAATATTGACCATTTCGTAACGGACCTAACTAAAAATGATATAAATATAGCGACGTGCCAGATTTGGACTATATTGCTAACTTTACTTTACTTTACATGACATAAATGATAATTTTTATAAAATATTAACATGTACGCGAGATACCAGATATATAGTCGATTGAAGTATTCCATTTTCATGATTCATCTAA